ACATCATGGGCACAATATTGGATTGAGGGACTGGTCAAAAACTTAAGTGTAAGCCTCTCTCCTATGAAGTGTGCATTTTGTGATGATACAAAGCAAACAGGCCTTTCATTTCATATAGTCTCATCTGAAAGACCCTCACTGTTTATATTGGAGTACATTTATTTGCCTCAGGAGTCAGTGCTGATGGGAAGTGACTTGGTGGTTTTAGGAAGCCTAATCGTAGGCATTTCACATCTGATGCTTAGACTTCCAGGCCATCTCTGTCCTCTTCTATTGTCTTCCAGTCTGAAGTAGTCATTATTGAGCATGGTTTTGATTTTGAAAGATAATGTGGTATATGTGAATGCTTTTCATTATGCAACTTTCTGATGTGACAGAATCTTAAACTGACATTGCTGCTATCTAACCTCAGCAACCACTGAGAGGTTGGGTTGGCTGGAAGTATGAAAACACTATTGTCCCAGTTCCCAAGCTGTCAAAAAGCATGTGGAATTCGAGTCGGAATAAAATGTCTGCTCTCCATATGTGTTTGGATCCTAACAGCCATGTCTCTCTTTCTGCCTCTTTCCAACATTTGAGAGTAGCTGTAAAATACTTATGACCAGTACCAGATTTTTGACACCTGAGGAGATAGACAAGGTGTTTTCAGAGAGGGTCTAGACCAGAGTTTCCTCTTAAGATTTTCCATCCTTGGGCAGGTTGAAATTTCTTATGTGCAACACCAATATTGAGGTAGCTGAAGAAGTGAGTTGTGCCCATGAAAGCTCATGATACTATTTATATATTTTTCACTAATCTAGGCTGCTACAGGATCACAACTCTACCTGATAGCAAAGACCTTGCCTTACTAATTAATACATGGTAAACTGTATTGCATTAACGCAGGATTTTTAAAAATAATTGAGATCAGTTTTAGGTATCTGCAACGCTGGAAAAAAAAGTGTTAAAATAATATTTTTCTTTCTTACCATAAGCTATTAACACAGGGGAGGTCAATTTTTGATGGGGGGGCCCACTCCAAGAATTTGATAAGTGGTTGAGGGCCGCACCTTTCCCTTATATTAATGGAGGTGCAGGGCTCTGGGATGGAGGTTGGGTTCAGAAGGAGCTTGGGGTAAGGGATTGGAGTGTGGGATCTTGGAGGGAGTTTGGTTGAAGTAGAGAATCATGACGAGGGGCAATGGACTGGGGTGAGGAGTGGGTACAGAGCTTGGGAGGGGATTGTGACCTGGGGCAGAGTTCTGGGAGGGGGGCAGGGATTTGGGCTAGCAGGGATAGCAGATTGGGATGCAAGGTCTGAGAGGGAGTTGTGACCTGAGGAGGAGTGTAGGAGGGCATGCAGTGTCTGGGAAAGTTTATGGGGGCTGGAGCAGGGGTGCAGAAGATTTGGATTACATGGGATGGGGGGCAGAGGGTTGGAGGGAGAGTAAGAGGGAGGGATTGGGGTGCTAGAAACAGGCTCTAGCTGGGAGACCTTACCTGGCTTCAAGTTCTTCCCCAGTCAATCAGCTGAACTCCCTGCCTATGCTCAGAAAAGGGCTGCATAGCTTACAGGGAACGTGGTCTAGACTGAAATGTGTGTTACCTGTTAGGCCAAATAATGTTTGAGGTTGTTGGCTTCTAGGATACGTGGCAAAACCTTAACATTTTCCTTATGTCTGAGGGTACGTCTACATAGCAAAGTTAATTAGAAAAAACAGCCCTTATTTCAAATTAACTTTAATAGTGTCTCTACAGGCAAACTGCTATTTCAAAATAATTCAAATTAGTTAAACCTCATTCTATGAGGAATACTGCCTAATTCGAAATGAGCACTGTGTAGATGCTTATTTTGAAATAGGGGGGCCTCCAGCCCTTCCTAGGGTGCCCCGGTGGCCACTCTGGGCCAAACCAGGAAAACTCTTCTGCTTCCCTCCAGCCCCGGAGCCCTTAAAGGGGTAGAGTCTGTTTGGCCACAGTGCCTGTGCCAGCTCCAGGTCTGCCAGCCCAGAGCCAGCAGTCGCTGCACCTGACCCAGTAGCCCCAAAACATGAACCAGCAAGCCACTGGCAGCGAGCCCTCCCCCCCTCCCCCCTAGGAGCCTGCTGGGGGCCGCAAAAGGCAGGTGCCTTCCTGGTCCAGTGCGGAGATCATGGACCTCATTGAGGTTTTGGGGAAATCCTCTAAGGTCCGTGATCTCCGCACTAGTCACAGAAACGCAGCCGTCTACAGAGGGATGGCTGACAGCCTGGCCACCAAAGGCCACATGCGCACCCATGAGCAGGTGTGCCTGAAGATAAAGGAGCTAAGGCAGGTCTATGGCAGGGCCATAGGGGGCAGCTCCCAACTAGGGGCAGACCCAGGCCCTTTCCCCTACTTCGAGGCCCTGGACCACATCTTTGAGGTCTGGGTGGTCTGTGCCCCCCAGGTGGTCATAAACCCTGGGGCAGAGGGCCCTGACCAGGGCACAGAGCAGGAGGAGGAGGAGGATGAGGGCCAGGAGTTGCAGGAGCCTGGAGGGAGTGTTGGCACTCAACCTGGACTCGTGAGGCATACCACTAGCACTTTAACCACTGTCTTCCGAGGCTGGGGAGGCCTCGACATGTGAGTGCCATCACTGTCCCCTTATGCGGGGCGGGGGGAGAGAGGGAGCCCAGGGACCGCGCATGTGGACCTTGCTGACCATGGATCACGCAGCAACCTGTGCATGTGCCATGCCAGCCAGGGCATGTGGCCTCAGCTGGCTGCCACACAGGGGCCCTAGCCCATTAGCCACACACATGTATGTATGAAGGCACATGACATGCTCCATACCTGGAGGAGAGGCACTGCACAATGTCCTCCCTCAAGCCCCCTCCCTGCAGAGGTAGG